TCGTTGCTTAGGCATCCTTTCTTATTGGTAGCTGTCTTTGAAATAGTAATCTGTTTCCTTTCTGCAGGTACGGCTATCCACCATCTGAGAGCAACTTTATCAAGCCAGGTAAAAGGCCGATGAGTAGTATGAGCCCTACCGTAATCTTCGACAATAAAACTAAGCAAGTAGGTTTTCTTACCATGTGATGTGTGCAAAAGTCGTTTCCCTGCTTATTCAGCCGAGGATGGTTGTGGGTGCTTCTGGTGGTTCAAAGATTATCTCAGCAGTGGCAAAGGTAAAATAACGAAATTTGTCTTAAATTAGCCCATGGCACGAGGTCTCTGGTTCGATGTTTCGAGAACGAATATTCGATTGCAAATTCAGGGAGATAGCCCATCTGTATCTTGTTGAAACTGCAAAGAGAAGAACTACTGCAGCGTTTTCTGCTTGGAGTGCGCTTTTTTATCTTGATTTGAAATAATATAGGCCTCAGCAAAAAAGGGAACAGTTGCTTTGATTTGGTTAATGTGATATAAGTGGAGTCAAGAGGTATACTAAAGTGCTTGATAAAAGCAAAATAAGTGTTTGCTGAACGGAGGCCTCAAGCGAAGTCCCAAATAACGAAAAGTACGGAGATTTTTCCACTCTCATAAGTTTTGAAGAGTTTCACAGAAAGTTCTTGAACTCCTCGCTGCGCTGTAATTCTCGCGTAGATGGACCATGGAGAAAGCTTGTGGGCATGTAGGTTATGTAGTGGACGGTTACAGCAGATAACGAAAAGTACGGAGAAAAGTACGGCTATAAGGAGAGCACTGGGGAAAGTAAAAACTGCGATTTCTGAGTTCCTGTACGATCTTCCTCTGCATTTTTCTTCCTTTACAGCTTGCTCACCGGAGATCTGATGTTGAGCCTGGCTGTAAATTTACATACTTCAAAGTCCATCAAAAAGCACATTTTAGACTATAGTTCGACACTTGTTCTTCGGTGAGACGATCAAGCAAGCCATTGACGCTCCTATGCTACATAATCAGTACATTCCCATCACCAATATGATTGACGAGTTCTTTCCGAAGGTAACTCAGTTTTCTAGTTAAAAATTCTGCAACTGTGGCAAGCTTTCTTGCAGGATCTGCAAAATATCCTAGAACAGAAACACGGACAGAACTTTACCGGCAACACCGTATTCAAAGGAGTGACTCATGGTGTCACAGTTGATCGACGTGAAGTCAGAGCATGTGGCGATTTCAGACGCACTACGCCACAGGCTCCCGCGGGCTATTAAAGTCGACATTTCAGCCCTTTCCAAATGCTTTTTTCCAAGAATTGCAATTATGCTGACTGTACTTGTAGATCTTGCGAACCTTTACTACTTCAAGATTTTACTAGATGTATCATCGGGAACAAGAATGTGATATTCTATTTGTTCTTCATAAAGTAGCGAGGAATCCTAGGTTGGATAGAAAAACGCTTAACGATAAATCTGTCTGAACAATGCCCTCTATGTGCACTTGGATCAAACCTTGCTAGTAGTTATGTTTAACAGACGATACCAAGATAGGCGAAGAATTCTCCAAGCACTCAGAACTACAAAGTGTTGTAAACAAATGTTTATCTTTAGTCTCAAGTCTTTTTTTCAACGAAAAACCCATGTTTTATGTTCCAGCGTCATTTTATCACTTTCTGCGCATTCTACCACATACCACCCATTTAGGCGCAATTGATGCGCTTTTCTCAG